AAAAGCAAATCAAGGTCTTCAGAGGAAAGGTGCTGTCAGCATTGCTGTGGGGAAAAGGCAGCCCAGTGCACCCTCCTCAGTAAGGAGGGGAATGGCAGGTACCGTCTGTAGCAGAGCAGACCCACCATAGGAAGGACGTGTAGAAACAGGCCTGAACCCAGAGCCCTGGATCTGACCCCCTGGGACCTCAGGAGAAGTATGGGCCCGAGTTCAGATTCAAGCAACAAAGCCCTTCTCTGTGATGATTTTATCTGAATCCAGCCATCTTGGGCCTTTGGGGCAGCTGGCACCAGGTGGGAAGTTCTTTAGTCTGATGCCTTGCAAATGCCGCTTTGGTAGGTAGCAAAATAGCAGAGCCACAAGGCAGACTTCCCTTCTCACTAGCATCAGGGAAAATAAGCTGGGCAGGAATATGACTGAACCCCAAACTCCTTTCTCGTCTCCCTAGAAAGCAGTCAGCAAACCAGTCACTGATTTTGGGTAGGTCCCTGACAGTGACACAAGAGGGCACTCGCACTCCATTTAGCATTCCCTGCACTCAGCTCATCCTTCATCCCAGGGACTCTTCTGACCAGAAGGTTGCTCATAGCCAATTAAGATTTATTTCTCTGGTTTCTCAGCCCAAATGGAGAAGGAAATCCCTGTTATTAATTGCTACCCAACACAGAGACACCAGCCTGAGCCTCAGGCTCTCCTCAGGGGGGTAGAAAAGAGAATGAGATAAGATTAGAGTTGGCAGAGATGATACACTCACTGCGCCTTCAAAGGGAACAGAGGCAATTGAGGCTTCCAGGTGCTTGATAGAAATGTCCACAGCCTGTTGGCTCAAGGGATTAAGCATGTGTAGCAGGAAATAGCCTCGTGCTGGTAAGGCCAGTAGAGAAGCAGCTGCCAGATCTGTGCAGTCATGCACCTGTCCACAGGGACACAGAACTGGACCCCAGAAAAGTGAAATTCAACCCGTTGCAAAGCTGGTTTCTAATTCAAGGGGAATGAGCTGCCTGTGTGCTTCTGACTCCCAGAGGTCCTGGGTTCCACACTGACATGAGGCTGTCTCCATGCACGAGCTGTCCCAGAGAACACCATTTCACTTAGGCCCCTGTGGCATATTACATATATTATGCAATTAACTTGTGAGTCGTGCAATAAATTCAGACTGGCCACACATGCAAAGTAATTATCATGCTATAAAAATGTCCTTCCAGCTATAAAAAGGACCAACTGGCTACAGAGTTAGTGCTTGAAAATGTGTAAGAACTTTATAGCTGGTTTCTATTCGGCTTTAATTTGAACATGTGGCAGGGCCCTTAGTGAGGGTGGAAGGGTTTTCTTCTGCCTGTTCAGAGCACATGAAAGCAAGATGTCCCAAATGCGCACAACAGGCCACAGGTTTGCAAAGTGGAAGCAGCTTCATGGTATGCGGAGGAGACTGTGGAACGTCCCTCCAAAGCCCTCTCAGCTGATGGCATTTCTGGGAGTCTCATGGCCTTCTACATATGGTCCAGGCAGCCTGATCTGGCATCTGTGGGTATGTCTACACATGCATTAATGCGTTTTAGTTAATGCACGTTAAATCTGGTACCTTCATTGTGAAGTACAAGGAAAACATGCACTAGCCTGTCTTAATGCACATTAACTAAAAAGTACAGGGCACTTTTACATGTGCTGTGGGGGTGGGGGGCAGTTTAATTAGAATGGGTCTGAGAGCCACTCTAATTAAAGCATCACAGCATCGTGTGTATCAGCATCCCTGCACTACAAAATGGTGGCAGGGAGCACTTGAACTAAAGCTTGCTCAAAAAGCTTTAGTTCAAGTGCTCCCTGCCACCATTTTGAAGCATGGGGGTGCTGATACATGAGACACAGGAGACTGCTGGAGTGCAATAATTACCATACTCCAGCAGACTCGATTAGTCATATGGTAATTATTGCTCTCGGTTAATCAAGTCTGCTCCAACACTCTGTAATTACAGTGCATCAGAGCAACCCTACAGCACATCTATAGGCACCCACAGTTTTTAAGTGATGTTTAAAATGCATTACCCTATTTTAATGCACATTAGCCAAATAGCACTTTTTTTAGTGACACTTTAATGCACATTAGCCTATTTTAATGTACATTAAAGTGAACGTGTCGATGCACCCTGTAGTAGCACAAGGCCTGCAGAGCTGGACCAAGGATTCCCAAAGAGTTTACATGGCAACAAAGGTCATAAATATGCTCACAAACATCAATACGAACCCACAGGGCCAGACCTGCGCAAGACTTCTTCATCCAGGGCTGTTGCTGAGAGAACCCAGCGTGTATGTTTGCACAGCTGTCCAGGAAAGACACAGGCTGGGTTGCGAGCTGCTTGAGGTTACTAAAGCAGCCCAGAGCAACTGGAATGCACTGTTACCTCTGACCCAATTTGCTCCTATAGCAGCATCCAACGGGGAGGTAGAAGTCTGGAGAACATACAATGTTTCTGGCATGGAGTCACTCATGGTGGAAGACCAATGGATCTACCAGAAAGTAGAATTAGGCACACTGCATCCTATATCCCTCTATAAATGCTGATGCATGTACATTAGAGGAGTCCTTGGAAGCAGATGTGACAGTCAAATATCTGGCTAAAAATTCCACAATGGCCTCATATGTGTTCTGCTTTGTACACTTCCTTTTTTGGCTCCAATTATTTCTGGTCATTGTCAGCTCTAAGGTGATTTTTGCTGACTTGAAACTCATGGCTAGGTTTTGAGCTGCCTGGGAGAGGTGACCCAGTCCAGTTATCCCCAGTTTCAAGTTTATACCTTGTTAACTAAAGAAGGAATGAACTCAGCACATCACATAGAGGCAGTTTGGAGTGGGGAAAACCTGCTGAGAGAGTTTAAGGAAACAGCAAAAGAAGCAGAAGTGGATTTTAAGAAGCACGTGGCCCTCAGAAAAGGCTCTTGCTTTTTTATCACTCTATTGAGCAACTTCATCACACCAGTTTTTTGAATGGTATTGCCACACACACTATATGGTCTGATTATCCACTACCAGCATTCCCATCCTTACCACCTATATATCCCTTCTTTAAACAGATAGACAGGGGAATGGGTTAATATAATACGCATGTCTTTCAGGTTTCACTGGTGGCACTGAGATCCATAAACTCTCCAGAAGGGAACCCTTTTGTCTGCATTTCATGGACTCCAGCTAAGAAGCAGAACCCTAATCTGATCCACCTGCATGCTTTCCTTCTCGCTTTCACTTGACTGCTCAGAGACTCAGGGTTCATCATGCCCCTCTTGGATTTGGCTTCATCCGTCTTCAAAGAGGTCACCCCTGCTAGGGCAAAAAGGACAAGTAGGAAAACCCAAAATCTGGGCTTAATTTGGAGCATGGAATGCCCCTGTGACTAATGAGTGATTTAAATACTGTGCAGTACTGACGTCACTTGTGTGAGCTGTGTTTATGACCATCCTTGGACTTGGATGCTACCATTATGGCAACGTACGGCAAATCCCATATTCTAATTTTTTTTTAAAGCAGAGCCCCTTCCACAAATAACCCCACTCAGCTACCACGAGTATTTCTGGGCATGCTTACAATGGAGTAACTGAAGAGCCAGCCCTTACCGTGAATCCAATGCCTACGGTGGCAGAAAAAGATCCTGGAATGAACTTGCCCTGATCAAACTGGACCAGCAGTGATGTCTTCCCCACACCGCTGTCTCCAAGCAAGATAGTCTGCAAGAATCAAAGCATCCTAGGGTGAGGAAGTGATCTGGGAAGCTGAACTGACAGGGGTTGGCTGGGAACCTCTAGTCCTCTCTGATGCATAGCACCAGTTCAGGCTGCATGGTGAAGATGGCAGGGAGAGGCTCCTAGGATCTGGGCCCTAAGGGTGCACCTGCATCCTGCATGGAAAAGCCAGAGGATAAAACCCAGGTCCCGGGATGCCCTCCCCAGAATGGAAATGCATCACTGGGCTACAGAGCCAGGCGCACTTCTGCGTGCTCTCTATCTGGCTCCATGAGCCTTATTCTTCCTGGCCCAGCTTCAACAAAATTGTCCTCAGCCCAAGTTTGCATCCTCTCTGGCTGAGAAGGGTTGAGAGCTCAGGTCAGGAGCCCCTGAGGGCAGCAGTCACCTGCTGATCTTCCTCTCTTACAGGCACATGGATCTTTGTGAAAACCCAACCACATCCTGGCTTTTCAGGAACCAGAGCTGCTCCACAGCTCTGAGAACCAAGTGGCTGCCTCTGCTCACAGGTCAGGCTGTCAAGGGAGAAGTTCAGCTCAGCTTCCTCTTCCCTTCCTCGTCTCAGGGCATGGGCATGACCTTGCTTTTCTCTAGTTTCTTGATTTTTCAGAAAGCTTGGAAAGGACAGAGTTACCACACTGTGCTGATCCCACCAAGACAGAGCGAGCCATTAGCAACGATAATTGGATGCAAGGCCCCTACTGAGGAACATCCTACAAAGGAAAAGTGTATTACATGTAGAGATGGCTGCATAGTCCCTTGGGCCCCATCCTAGGAGGCGCCTGCAACTCTTACCTCCCTACTGAGAGCAGGAGTTGAGGATGCCTAGGGTCTGGAAAGGCTGGACCCTTCGGTAGAAGCAGTTTGCTCTGAAGTGGGGCAGCATCATTTCAAATGCATTGCTTCTGCACTGCTCCGAGCCCTGTTGTGTTTGCTTCTCCCATCCTGGTCTAAGCCCCCTTTGCCTCTCAGCCAAATGTTAACAGGTGAGGCACAAAATCTACCCCTTAGCCCTTACTGCAGTGAGGATAATAAAGCTAATGATAATATCATTGCCCATAAAATACGAATTCTCTCTAGCTGGGTGGGCAGGTAGCAGTTTCCGTGGCTGCTACCTGGTCACATAATACAGATACACGCGGCATCAAATCAGAAGAGGGGTTCTCCAAACACTGGACTGAAGACAGACCTGTCTCCTGCCTCCTGCCCTACCCAGGAAGTGAAATATCACAAAAGGACCAAAAGAGGAAGTATCTGCATCAGTGCAGCGGGCACAAAGCCATCTTGGAGGGAAGCAGACTCCACTTGCTGCAGTATTTTCCACAAGGGATGGGAGATGCAATGAGAAAGGAGGCTATTATGAGGACCATGTGGCTACCACTTGCTAGGGGCATTCTCCTCCTTCCAGGTGAGAGCTTCATCTAGCTCCTTTTGCAGGGGAGGGACTGCTGAATGGCACACAAGCTGGCATTCAGCCTGTCTCGCTGGCTGGGAGGGGGAGGCTACCAGGGCATACTGCAACCTCCTCTCTCAGAATTTATACCCAGTAACACTCATGTTCAAACTAAGGGGGCTCATGTACGCAGCCCCTGAGGAGCTAAATGAGGCGATGGTCCTGCCTGTCGGAGCACAAAGTCTTTCATGGGCTCTGACACACCCAGTATGAGCTGAGGGCATGGGGCCCCTTGAGTGCTGATTTCAAGCTGCCTCCACCATCCAGTGAAAGGCAGACTGAGTTTGGCCTGACTTGTTTTCCAGGCTATTTCTCTGTGCTGGCTGCTCAGCTGACTGGCCCTGAGGAGATGAGCGGGGTCCTGGGCCAGTCTGTGTCTGTGCCATGTCAATACGTGGAAAGATACCAGACATATCAAAAATACTGGTGTGGAGGAGAAAATTGGAACTCTTGCTCCAAAGTTGTGGAGAGCACGGGGTCTCAAGATGAGGTGCGGCAGGGCAGAGTCTCCCTCCGAGACAACCACCACCTGCACAAGTTCACAGTGACCCTGGAGAACCTCACCCTGGAGGACACGGGGACCTACTGGTGTGGGATCAACAAAGTTGGACAGGATCCTTATGCCCCTGTGAAGGTGACTGTCTTCCCAGGTGAGTTCCTCAGAGCACTGCCCAGCTGCTGGAAAGTGGGGGTGCCTGGTCGTGGGGAGACAAGAGAGGGAGTGGGACTGGAAGACAGGCTGTGGCTGTGTCCCCATGAGGCTGTTTCCTGAGCAGATGCACTTGTCATGGTGCAGCAGTGGGCTGAGTGCAGCCTTTGCTATGGACACAGGATGGGGGCCTCAGTCTTGCCCATTCGAGCTGTGGCAGGCAACCAACTGTGAGAGGTCTGTAATATTCCCGCTTAAAACACAGGAGCATCTAAACCAGCCACCAGCCTAAACGAGGCATGTAGGCATCACAGGTAGGGAATGGGGTTTAACTGAAGATTATGTCCCGGGCCTGAAAGCTCTGGGCAGCACTGCGGTGTCTGCACCCTGCCTGCTTCAGGGGTCCCTTCCCTTTGCTGCAGTAGAGACAGACTCATCACCGAGTGACAGCCGCTGCCAGCTGAGGGCTGTGTGTGTCCTTGTGTGAAATACATTTGCTGACGGTGGTCTAGTATAGTGGTGCTCTACATTTTGGCCCTGCTGGATCAGGATTGGGCCCTGCATCAGCCTTGTGCACAGAGATTGGATCTTGGGGCCCTGCACCGCCCCTGCCTGGTGCCAAGATTGGGCCTCACTGTCCAGCCCCATGTGTCAGAATCAGTCTCCGTGCCACCCTAAGTGCTGGGATTGGGCCCCTATGCCACGCTGCATGCCTGAGCTAGCACACAGGGATGGATAACACTGGAGAAGTTAGCCCCGTGGGCTGGATAACACTGGAGAAGTGACTTCAGTGCACTGTGTTTTCTGACATATGTTTTCAGAGCTCTCTGCCACAAGGATGATGATAACAGCTGGGTTTATCTCCACAGTAAACAGCACTGTGAGCTCCAGGATAACCACACATGCCAGCCCTGCAAGGTAGGAGCATCTGGGTCAAGGCAAGAGCTTCAGCATGTTGAAGACAGTGGCAATCAAGGCTGAATTTCTAATGCCCGGCTTTGCTTGCTTGGCACTGGCAGACACTGGCCCATCCCAGTTTATGAAGGCAGCCTGGGTGGCTGGGCAAGTACCTACTTGAGTTGTGCTGACAAATGTGGACTTTGCATGTGAAATATGGGGAAGTTCCCAGCCTCAGTCAGGCATGAGGGCTGATGCACTGCCCTCGGCACCTTGTGTTACCCTATACACTGAGGCCCAGAGCAGGGGAAACTCAGCATAAGCTCTGTAGGAAGCTCCACTGTGCGGCTGGGGGAAGCACTGTGTATGAGAGAGAGACATGACCTGCCCTGGGTTGTAGAGTGAGCTAGTGACAGCTAAGACCTCAGGAGATCCTGTCACATGGGCAGGCCTTGACGACATGCTCCTTCAAGTCCCGTGCATCCTTGCCAGACGCTTCCGCCCTTGGTTATTATTCTACTTCAGTCACACTTCTCCTTGGCCTACACACTGCCAGCAAATAAGCTGGGTGTGCCCACAGTTCATCTAGAACTGCCATATAGAGCTTCTCAGTCATCTTCCTCTGCTTCTTATCCCACAGGCTTGGGTGGTCAAGACCTCCCTTCTTTGTCTTACAGTTACTCCTCTTGCTTAGGAACTTGAAGGCTGGTCTATACCCAGAGCATAGGTTACGCTAATGATGTGATTTCTGTACTGATTTAGTTAAACCTAGTGCAACTGCACATGTGGATACCCAAAAAATAGGTTTAAAGCTGGATTTTACAGTGTTTGGCTTCCGTTGGTGCAAATTAAGTTCAATGGAATCAGTTTTAAGAGCATCAGCAAGGCTGCTTGCAATGGTTTAACTCCATCTGTTTTGAAACCCATTCACATTAAATGTGTGCAACATGTCCTATTGGGTAGTTCTGTGTCAACCCACATGGCAGCCTGCAAGCTCTGCTTTGTATGAGGCTCCTTCTCCAGAAGGAATAGCCTCTGCTTTTAGAAGCTGAGACTAGATTTGTGACACAATTGCTTTACTCAGATCTGACCCGAGTTTGGAGCTTGGGAAAGACCTGGTCTGGGTAACACAGGGCAGGGCTGGATAGTGCGGGAAGCTGGTAGGGACTGGGGTTCCCCACACTTGAGCAGCAGTAGCCAGGAGGAGTTATCAGTGGCAGGGGTTGGGGCTGGGCATGGATATCCTCAGGCTCAGGGAGAGGAAGCAGCTGAGGGCTGGGGGTGAATGCTGCCTCTAGCCCTGATGGCCATGGCTGGTGAAGATGGCTGGCACGGGTGACCTGGGTCAGTAATGGCCACTCCTCTCAGCCTTCAGTCAGGGGCTCAGTTGCATGGGTGGGCCTGCAGTGAGGGCAATGTCTCATGGACATATTTTGTCTTTCTTCTTCCAGCTCTGTTTTCACCAAACCCAAGTTCCTGTTGCCAATGGTCATCTCGGTTTTAATCCTACTGATAGGCATCTTGGGTTTTCTTCTGGCAAGGAGGGGGATGCTGAAGAGGCAAGAGGGTGAGAGCTGCAAGGAGGCATCTGCCTCCATCTCAGTCTCATCAGTGATCCACCGCTGTCCCTGCCCTGTCCCCAGAACTCTAGTCAACCAAACTCATGCTAACATCATAGCTGCAGTGAGCCAAGGATCCAAAACGGAGGGTCCTGCCCCCACACCATTAGATTCAGAACAAGGCCATGGAAGTGGCTGCCCATACTGACACAGCAGCCAAATCCACTTCCATCTAAGCCACTGACTAGCAGCCTCTGAGGAGCAGAGAGAAATCCCTTGACTCAACCCTCCCACCTTCAGACCTCAGGTTGGGGAGGACCGGGTTAGAGAGCTTCTGGAGGGGCTGGACGCGTTCAAGTCAGCGGGTCCGGATGATCTCCACCCCAGGGTGTTGAGGGAGCTAGCTGGGGTTATTGC